GCTTGGCTTTAGTTAGGAGGAGGAAAGTATAAAGAGGTCATGGTAGTTCTCTGAAAAGGCATGTGGGATAGGGTGTAGTGGTACCCATCAACTACTGAGGCTAACGAACAACAAGAGACAGCATATGGGTGTAACTTGAGTACATTTAGGGTGGAAATCAGAAGAAAGCCTACCTATGAGAATAATGGTAGCTTGGGAACAGCCTTGCAATGGAAGATGTTTAAATGGCTTCAGAGGGCTGGTATTCCATCTAGGAAAGGGTATGGATTTGCAGAGCACTGTAGTAAGAAGAGGACTGATGAGCCAAGAGTCCCTTGTTCCTCCATATTAAAATCAGTTGCTTGGGATGGGGTGGCTGACTCGACTTGGAAGCTTTGATGCCTAAGGTGAGTACAGTTGACTGCTGTGTGTGCTCCATGGAGTGCTATTTGAAATGTAGGATGCCAGTAACAAGTGTGTATCTTTTTAGGAATATTACTGGAATAATAGAATAAAATAATCTATAAAGGAAGGGCATGTACCTTCTGGGCACTTCAGGCACTTCATACATCTTTATGTTCTCTCATATACTAATTTGAGCTCATGATTTAATTTTTTTTCTTTGCAACAGCAGAGGATAAGTATTTCTGGTACAGCCTGTACTGAGCTGGAATGCAGAGGACTGGCCTAATCAGACCTTGGCTGATATGGTAAACTTATGTTACTGATTTGGCTGAGAGGTAACTTGAAGAAACAGGTTTACTTGTAAATAGTTATTAAAAACAAACAAAACAAAAAACCCACCCTAAAGCTATTTCGATTACTTAAAAGAGTGACCTTTTTGTGTCCTTTGTTACAGGTATTTTGTCTTGGATCTTTTGAGACTGGGGTAGTTTTAAGGCTTAAGTTCAAAGTGCATGTTGTCCTGTAAATGATAAGGTGTAGCACAAAATCATCTAGATGCTGAATGATCCTTGTGCTCCTCTTACACAGTACTCCCAGTTTAAACGGGGGTAGGCTGGCACTTCTGCTCATGAACCAACCGGTTCTGCCTCTGGCAATTCTTTCTCTTCCTTATGCTGGCAGAAGATTGGTGTGGTGAATCCAATCAGGGGACTGATGTGGGTTAAAACTAAGCTTTTCTTTTTTTGGCTAGGTTAGTTTTAATTGGGCTTGGTTTACCACATTGTTGCACAAATGTTTGTGCCAGCAAGAAGATGGAAATGAGTGGCTCGGGGACAGCAAGACTGCCCCTTTGGCAGCAGTGCCAGGTTTCCTGTGTTTTTACTCAAGGCTCTAGTGGCCCTTTTGCCATGCTGTCCTCAGGCAAAGCGATGAACTCTTATGATGTGGGTCTTCCTTTCCATGTCCTCATTTAGTTTACTTATTAAATGTTTTTGTGTGCAATAGATGTGGTGCTGATTTAATCAGCTAGTGATATACATTAGTATATACTCAAACCATAAATTACTCTATTTAAACAGGCATATTTAGCATATTGATTTATGCATCCTGCAGTGTTTCTTGAACTTTTTTCATATTATCCTCCAGGATAAATTACTGGCCCTGGTGCAACTCTCGAGCAATGAGGAAACAGCTAGTGACAGAGCACAGGAGACAGGGAGAAGGAGATTGCAGGAGGCAGCAATGAATGTGCCAAGTGGTGAGAGATAGAGGGGAGGGAGCCTAAGGGCTGGAGGAAATCTGTCAACAGCACCTTTTAGCCACCTACTACTGGAACTTGTTTCTCTGGCCTGATGCCAGCCTCAGAGGTGATGTGTTGGCTCAGCAACTATGAGCAGCCTTAGACTCTGCTTCTGCACTTATTTATTTATTCTCTATCTGAAACCTTCTTGGTGAAGGTCTGTCTTCTGGCCATGGTCCCTTTCTCAGACATCTTGTCCTGGCTGCCCCTGACAATATATCTTTGTCCTGTTGCACTGTCATTGTAAATATTCCATTGTGACTGTCTTCTAATGCCTGATTTCTTGTTTCATTAGTAACTGATTTTAAAATAATATTAGAAAACACATTACCTGATAATAGTCTGTCAGAGATTTTTTTGCTGAAGTATAAAGAGGAACTTGCTCTATAACAACTTTTCTGTGAGTTCATTGTCAGAGTTCATGCTAGCTGAAGTTTGGATCTACTGGTACAAAAAAAGTATCACCAGGGTTAATATACTACCAAATATTTTGGACAAGAGGTCTAGGCTTTCAAGGGACTGAGTGTGAACGTGAGGGTTATCTCCTCCCTTACTGACCACCTACTCTGCAGCTAACCTGATCTAACTGGGCAGTTGAGACTTGCTCCCTTTTGTTTCCACTCTGATGCAGACTGCAGCGAAAGAGGCTGCTGGGTCTTTCTCTTCACTCCTAGTATGATATTACTGACATCCTCTACTCCAGCAAAACTCCCTCCCAGACAAAAATACACTCGGGAACTGACATGCCATAGTTTTATTCCTACCCTTTGTGAGGAAAAGGTAGCAGCACTGCTGGCTGGGATGAGAATAGGGCACAACTTGCCTTCTGTGTGCCTAAAGGAGCCCTGCCATGCTAGGCTGAACAGCTGTGCTAAGCTGGGCATAACACAAGTCTTAAGGTAAGCCCACCATCTAATAACTTTGATAGAGTGCTTGTTTACAATGGGAGTACTTCCGTGGTGTGAGATCATCCTTACTAGCCCAGTACTTATTTTATGTTGGAATATAATTATCAAAGGAGCTTGCACAAGTGGTGATACATGAAGAAAGGAATCTTGAGAGCAAAAATAACCTAGGAGATGGAAAAGGCTGTGAATGAAACCAAGGGCTGGTGGTGGTAGGAGTCATGGAAAAAAGATACTACAGACTGTTTCAGTATGAGATAGTGGTTTATAGCTAGAAACTTTAGAAATATATCCCATTGCTGTTGCTTGTAGTATGCCTGAGTATTTCTACATGGCTGAGATGCAAGAACATGGAGACTGTTTCTGCTTCTGTCATTCTTGAGATCACTGTTGGAGAACATACTGTCCAGTTCTAGTGAGATGTCTCTCAAGAGATTGCTGTACAATTGGGTAGAGCTCAGAGCGAGCTACAAGGATTTGTGGGTTAGCAATTGTCTGTGCAGTGAGGAGGGGATAAGATTGATTGACATGTTCTGTGTGGTAGGGGGAAGAGGAGGAGCTGCCTGTAACAGTTTCAAGCACCCATACTGGCATGAAATGCCTGACAGCAGAGGGCTTTTTAATCTCTTTGGCCAATGTGTGACAAAAGGTTAGCCTTTGGAGTCAGCAAAGTTTAATTTGTAAATGCCATCCATTAATTCTAAGTAGCTAGAATAATTAACTCTAACATATTAATCCGATGGAGAGTTACAAAATCATCAAGAGTCCATTAGTTAATGCTTGAAGGTAGGCCCTACTTAAAAACCGTTTAGCTTCTGCAGGGCTCACTAGGGAGACAGTCTGATCTGTGCCATATCAGTGAGTGGGCAGTGGTGATCCTTGATACATTTGCAGAACTGAAGATTGTATCCTTTGCTGTAAAAGAAAAGGAGAAAGTGAGTGTGAGGGCAAGTTATGCTTCTTGAAGTAAACGCTAAAGGCTCCATTCATGAAACTCTCTCTGATAGTTTTGCAGACGGCAGTACAATGCCTAGAAAGCATTGTATATTTATCACCCATTACTGGTAGCAACAACTAGAACAGATATGATATCTGGACTACTAATCATTTAAGGGGTTTTGGTGTATAATACAGGTCAGTCAATAAAGCAGAGAGAGATTATACTCCACATTATGTTGTACAGTTCTTGAAGAAAAAAAGTTGTTGGTTATTGTATCTTCTTTGTTTCACTGTATTATTTAAGTTAATCCATGCTGTTGTGTCCTAGGCATCAACCTGTCTGAAAAAAAACAAGCTGCCTAGGCACAAGAGGCACTGAAGATGGAAAGCAGCTATTGCACATTACTAGAATGAAGTTTGAAGCCTGGTGTAAAAGGATCTTTGAAAACTGCCTTTTTGAAAACAGAATTTGACTCTTTTTTTTTTTTTTTAAAGAGGCAAACAGTGTCTTTACCAATGTTTGAGCAGAAAACAATCTAGTTACCTGGATGTAGTCAGTAAAATGAAGCTGAGGTGAACCAAGAGTTGTGTGCGTTTCTAACTTGACATGCATTGGCTTTGTACCTGCCTATGCATTCTGGTGACAATTTAGGAAAATATTTTTATCTTGGGTTTTTTATTTTTCATTCTTGTAGTCTTTGTTAAAACTGTCTACCTGCACCCCAGAAATCAGCTTGGGGAGTATGAACAACTAATCAACTAACGTGTTGGGTTTTTTTAATTATTATTATTTGCTTCTGTATATGTAGTGTTTCTGTCAGGAAGTTAGTCTTAGAAAAAGGAGAAACGTCTGTTTCTTCTCAATATAATTCAGTGCAGTACTGGTATTTTCATCTTGTGATTCTGCTCTCAGTCAGAAGGAAGAATTACTTCAGTGATGATCATAGTAGATGTGGACATCACCTTGAGAGTGGCATGGCTGCATATTAACAGGCTTAATATGAGTTTGCTGCACACAGTATTGTTGCTTTTTAGAGACAGATGTCTAGTAACAACTTAGTCTTTTTCTAAGCACAATCTTTTTTCTTGGTCTCTGTTCTAGCCTCCTGTCCCTCCCATCTTTTTTCCTTTTTTTTTTTTTCTTCCTTCTGCTGATCTTGATGATCAGTCAGGAAATTAGTGGGATAAAGTTCAAGCTAATACTCCTACAGAGATTTGTGTTTTCCTCTCTCCCATCCAATAAAACAACACATATACTATGTTATGTCAGTGTTAAGTGTGGCCCAATAAACTTCTGACTGTATAGTACCAACTGAAATTGGGTTTGCAAATTAAATCAGCCACGAACAGAACACTTAATTGTATGGGTAGAACATTGCAGTTCAAATATGTATTGAACTGATTATTAAGTGGGACAGTTTCCTAAGCATAAATAAAATAATTAATTTTTTGTGTCCTTATAAATTTTGCAGTGTGTCAGATGTTAAGCATGTTTTGATTTGTTCCAGTAGCCGGATCGAGCTGGGAGATGTGACGCCACACAACATTAAGCAGCTGAAGAGGCTAAACCAGGTCATTTTTCCTGTCAGCTACAATGACAAGTTCTACAAGGATGTACTGGAGGTTGGCGAACTAGCCAAATTAGGTACAAATATTCTTGCCAGTAATTGTGGGCTATGGTGTCAGAAGTGCTCATCGTTGCTATCTGTAATGGTTTTGACTAGCAGATCTTTCTATTTTGTTTACATAATTAAAAGTAACTGTTTGGGAACCTTAAAAAAGCCCCAGTCCCAACTTCAGAGGGTTTGTGTTCTAAATAGATTCCATTTTACTGGGAATAGGCATGTTTTCTGTTACAGCAGAAAACTTGGGAGGTGTTATGCTGCCAGTTTACCTCCTGATGTCATTGCTAGTTGGTTTGAACTGTAAATAAGCCAAGCACTGTGTTAGAGCACCATTGGTAACTTCACTCCAAGTGTTAAGCCACAGTGTATGATGTTTTATCTGGATGGGAGATATAGCTAGAGGGAAGGAAGAAGGATATAGGGTGTAAATGAAGGAGCCATATGTACAGTTTGAGAATTGTGACTGATAACATTTTGTTTCCCTCCCTGGCAGCCTATTTCAATGATATTGCAGTGGGAGCAGTGTGCTGTAGGGTGGATCACTCCCAGAACCAGAAGAGACTGTACATCATGACACTTGGATGCCTGGCACCCTACCGAAGGCTAGGAATAGGTAAGGAGGATCTTGTTTCGTATCCGAGTCATCAAAGAAACCAGATGGCTGTTGAGCCTACTAAATGCTCTTTTGGAGTTTTAATGAAGACAGTGTACTTTCAGACCACTGATTTCTTTGGAAGGGACTGTGGGGAAAGAGCATAATTTGTGATGTGCTCTTTTTTTCCCTGCCTTTCAGAAGTGGACTTTTCGTAGAACTTTCTAATTCAGGATTTCAGATTATTTTAATCTTACTCATAAAATCATTAAGGATGGAAAAGACCTCAATAATCATAAAGTCCAACAGTCAACCCAACACCACCTAACTCACTAAACCATGTCCCTAAGCACCACATCTACACATTTCTTGAACACCTCCAGGGATGGTGACTCCACCACCTCCCTGGGCAGCCTGTTCCAATGCCTGATCACTCTTTCAGTGAAGAAATTTTTTCTGATATCCAGCCTAAACCTCCCCTGGTGCAACTTGAGGCCATTTCCTCTTGTCCTATCACTTGTTACTTTAGAGGAGAGGCCAGCGCCCACCTCACTACACCCTCCTTTCAGGTAGTTTTGGAGAGTGATAATGACATTATCATACTGTGATGTAAATATCCAGCTTCTATGGATGTGAAAATTAATATACAGAGGTATGAAATAATTTGTTCGAAGTATGCAGCCAGTATGAAAGTCATATAAGTAGAAGACAGCATGCCTTCATTTGGTTATCTCTTCACTCTCCTAAATGTAGAGGGTTTTTTTTCTATTTATTTTGTCTTTATCACTACTGATTATTGCTCCTCAGGTGTAGTACCCGCTTTCTGTCTAAACTGCAGTTAGTTCTTTTCTCCATGTTGCAAATCCATAGGCCAGATAAATCAACACCTTACAGTAACCTGTTTGCTTCGACAAACTGAAATGAAAATTTATGTCAAATTATTTTACTAGGTGTTTATTAGAAAAACTTACCGATGGTCAAAACAATGTATAAATCAGTTAGAACATATTTTGAGGTGCATTCGAGACCTTGAAGTTAGTATTTCAATAAGCTGCTTTATACCTATGCTTCTGGGCTGTTGAGTATTTTCCTCCAAAGAAACAATTAAATTTTGTGAGCAGTCAGAAAAATAGTGAAATATTTACACACCATGTTTTATTTGCCTTTCCTGGTTCGCACAAGCTCTGTCATTTTAGCTACCTACCTAGCCTGCGTCTCCTCAAGAAAGCCCTTAGCTAAGTACAGACTCGACTGTGCACTTCTGGTTTTCTTAACTATCTCTATCTTTTGGCAGGCACTAAAATGTTGAATCATGTCTTAAACATCTGTGAAAAAGATGGCACTTTTGACAACATCTATCTGTAAGTAAATGAGCTATGCTCAGGTATTTTTGGAGAGATAATAAAGGCATATATGGGAGCAAAGGGAGGGAGATCCAAGAGCGTTTTTAGTGTATTTCAGTGGAGTCAGGAGATAGCAGGAAAGCCAGCAGTCATATTCTGGGCTTGTTGTGTGATGCTGAGAAAACCAAAAGCTTTCTTGCTTTAGAAGGGCTTCTGCAAATTTGCTGAATTTTAAAGTAGTGTAGTTACAAAATGATGTTCTATAGCAGAATTACACTGTATGACTAAAAAACAATTTAGGAAATAATTTTTTTTTTTACCATATAGTGTCGTCCTCAGAATGGAAAATACTGCAAGTCTTGAATGCAGTTTTGATGCATCTGCTGTCTTTCATTACAGTATTGAGTGGGTTAGAACATCAGATCAGAGGTGCTTGCAAGCACTCTAGGCTCACATTCGTTAGCAAGGCCCAACTGCTTAGTGCCATTCTTGCACTGTGCCAGGTCATCTGTTTGTGCAGCAACACAGTAAACTAGTTCAATGACCTGACCCAGCTGGGGAAGCTGTTTTCAGTTTTGTTTCTGGGTGTTGTTTGGGGTTTGGGTTTGTTGTGTTTTGCTTTGGTTTTTTTGAGGGGGTGGTTGGGTTGTTTTTTTTTCTAAATCACCTGCACATCTGCATTAGTGCTTGGCGTGATGCAGACATGAGAACAAGCACTGGAGTAGAGGACAGGGCTGCTTAAAAGAGCACCACCACTCTAATAGATCCCCATGGAAACAGATGCTGAAAACCATAGATGCCAAAGCTTTGCTTCCCCTTAGCTGCTAGCTGCACACTTCTGGTTCTTCCTGTGCATTGGTGTCTGTGTGAATACCAAGTGAGCTGATGCAGTTTTTGGCTAGATCACTTCTTTGAGTGAGCTTCTTCCTTATACCAGTACAAGCACGGTGCACTGGCAAGGGAGGAGTCACATAGCAGGTAGAGCTTGGATCGACTTACGCTGCCACAGAACTGCACCCTGACCTCTTGCCAGGACTGATGAGGATGCGTAGTGAGGAGTGTTTAGTACACTGTTATCTCTATAAATTGAGTGATATCAAGCTTAGTCCACATCTGCCAAGGAGATGCAAAGTCTTCCAAGACCCCTACTGTTGTAGCTTTGTGCCATCTCTGTAAGAGGAACAGGTGTTTTAAAGAGGAGTTCGTGTAAAGCTGCTTTTGGCTTGCATTTCCGCTCTCCTCCCTCAGAAGAAGTGGTAATAAAGTCTCTCTCAGATGCCTGCTCCTTGGCATAGGCATTTCTTTTTGCTTTTGCACTGTGTGGATAGTGAAGGAACTGCATGCCGGTTTTGATGCAAAAGAACAAATCCTTTGTAATCCTTCTATTTCCTAGAGCAGGTTTCTGGGATTACAATAAATAGCCCCTGAAGTTAGGCATAACAAAGTTCTTTTAGTTGCCCATTGATTTTTATGGCTCTGTCTGTTGCTTGTGCATCTTCTGTCTGAACATACTATGCAGATTAGCACCCAATTTGATATCAGTGGCTAAATTTGTCGCTATTACAAAGTTTCCTTCTAGCTATTTGGTGTTTATTGGGCCTACCACTAAAATCTTTTGTTTTGTTCTGCTGTTGCTTCCAGGGTTGCTTTGGTTCTATGGTTATGCAGCATGTTGTAATGACAAAGTGATTTATGAGCTTATGCAGTGTCCACTGAATTTTGGGAGTGTTTAATGAATGCCTTTTGCTGAGCCAAACATCCTCTTTTTTTTTTTTTTTTTGAAAAGGACTTTGTAAGTCTATAGGGCTTCTTTGTGCTGCCATAGCTTTTTGTGAGGAGAGAGGGGTAGTTAGCAGTGAGCAGGGAGTTAAGATCGTATCAAACACGATTGCCACTTTTTGTGTTGCAGTGTGTAGGGATTGTCATTCAGACAAATGTTTTGGTCATTTGAGAAGTGTCACTAAAGGAAGTTAAAATTTGCTCTACAGTGAAACTGTTAAATTTCCACAAAACATCTGACACAGATTAAGAAAAATTGAAATTACTGAGCTGGTAGTGCTTAAGAGCCTCTCTGCTATTTGTGTTCTTTAAAAGAGCTTTACTGAGGGAAAACATTTGGCGCTTCTCAGAACGATTGCCACAGGCTGTCTGGGAGCTGTGAGTTAGCTCAGGATTGATTTGGAAAGACCAAAATTTCCAGTCCTGAACTTACACCATCGTTCCCGTCCCTATGTAGATGGGTCCTGTTCTTAGCTTGTCTTTGACCATTCTGAGTGTGGAGGCAAAACACTGTACCACAGAAAGTTCTGATACCTGTCTCTATCCTTTCTGTCCCAGGCATGTGCAGATCAGCAATGAGTCCGCAATTGATTTCTACAGAAAGTTTGGCTTTGAGATCATTGAGACGAAGAAAAACTACTACAAGAGGATAGAGCCCGCAGATGCTCATGTGCTGCAGAAAAACCTCAAAGCTCCTTGTCTTGGCCAGAATGCAGATGTGCAAAAGACCGACAACTGAACAAAACCCCAACGAACACTTTCTTGCACTTGCTTGTCGCCAAATAAGGAAAGAGAGGCCTCTTGATTTTTTTTTTTTAACTCCACCCCTTCATCCTCTTGATTTTTCTTCTTGACCTCTCTCCAACAAAATGTAATGCTTCTTCCAAGGATTCATGTTTGGGGTTGGTTTTTTTTTTTTTTTTGAGCTCTCCTTTCTGGTTTTGTTTGTTTGTTTTGCAAGAGGGGGGTGGTGGTGTTGGGGTGGGAAGAGGTGTGCAGATCTCTTAAGTTTGAGGTGTGGAGGGCTTGAGCAGGTTATCCTGATGACAAGTTTCCTTCAGAAGTATCTCTTTCAGTAAGCAGAATGTAAATGCAGTGGGGGGAAAAAAGGAAGAGCAGTATCTTGTCCTTTGACTCCTACATTGTGTTTTTTATAACCTACAGGGTACTTTACTCCCCCCCCCCAACCTTTGAATGTTACTTCAGTACTTCCCACTCTTCCTCTTAATTCCCCTGCCTCAAAAAAAGTATGTTTAGTTCTTACCAATATTTTTGAATATGGCTTTTTCCTCCATCTTTTGCTGAGAAGGGTGGGCCATTTTACCATACCTTTTCACTCTGCCTAGGCTGATATTTTTGAATGCTTTTTTTAAATACTCCTTATCCAAGCTGGTGCTACACTTCTTAACTGACTGAGAGGAGGAGGGTTTAGAGTGGTCTTTGTTTTTTCTTATTTTCATTTACCCAACTCCCAGCAGACTTCTGCCAGAGTATGAGCTAGATCTGGTGCTGGCAAAGAGTAACCTTGTAAAAACATGAATCCTGAGGCAAGACCCTTGCTTTAAAAATGGGTGAAATGCCATAGGGCTCACTGAGTTAGTTTTATCTGTGTTGTTGGTATAGGAAAAGTGACTGTGACTGCCTTATCAGCTTTGATCGCATAAGGCAAGCACCCGTCTCCAGATAAATTTACAGTTACTAAATCTGTGGTCACAAATCTGAGATGAGGCAAGGGTTAAGGAAACTACGCAGCAAGGCTGAGAAGGCAAACACGAATCGGACCCTAATCATACAGCTTTGCAGGGGTCCCCTGGATTGCTTGGGATTAGCTTCGCTTGCTGTGTTTGTGTTCCTTTGGGAGGGGGTGGTTAAAAACAGCAGTTGGATCCTTTTGAAGATTCTTTTCCCCTTTTCCCCCTGTTCAGTGGTAATAATGCAGTTCTCCTCTCATGAGAGGGTGTTCATGGAGCACCAGAGAAAGCAGCATATATTAGAGCATTTTATGAGTTTGGAACACAGGCTGATTGGCTTCTTCCTAGTACTGTAACCTCAAAGCTACAGTAAACTCTACTAAGCTCTGCTTTGCATCCTTTCATGCTTTGTTTGCGTGAATATCAGTGCTCCTTTCTATGCACTGTTGCCAGCAATTTTATGTATGCCAATACAAATACCAACTTGAGCTTGGACTCTTCTCCAAGCACCTGGGAAAGTGCACTGAGCTGAGACAACACCAACCTGCCCCATCTCCCAAGTCGATATTGGACTGCATTCCTTTCCTGTTTGTTTTCTAAAGTTTAAATCCGTATCTTGAATTCATCTGCTTTGAAAGCCTCCAACCTGTAATGCGCATTGGCAGTATACATCCTGATAGTTGGTGCTGTCCAGTCATTCAAGGGTGACGTGGGAACCAAGGATTTCAAGACAGGAGTTGTGGTTAGGCAAGGGATGGCACCCCTCATTGCACATTATGTGGTCTTTGATACCTGAGGGGTGATTATGAAAACTGCTCTAGAATGTCTCCTTCTTTCCCAGAGGTGTGTAGTGCTTGTTGGAATGCATCTTGACAGACCTACGCTGGAAAACAGCTACACTATTTGCTGGGTTTGCACTAGTTGACTCTTGGGGATGGGCAGATCTCTAACAACAGAAGCCCCTCTGCATGGCCTGAGCACCTGTGTTTGCAACACTTGGTGGCAGACTCTGGCTAGAAAGATGCAAATGGTTTCCTTGGCCAGAGGCAGCCTAGTTTTGACAAAAGCTTATATTTAGTACTGCTAGGACCTGCTCACACTGGTTATGTCAGCAGTTCCAGCATCTTTCTGGAAAGGGGTGTACTGAAGCACAATTAGCTTGTCATATGCTAACATAGTTTCCCTGGCCATCTGTAGACCAAACCAAGAGAAGTAGGTGGAGGGAGAGAGATAGTATTGTATTTGAGGATGTTTGTGCAGCACAGCTGTAACTCTGACCATAGCTGCCTCTGGTGCCAAGCAAAGTGCTCTTCATTATTCTAGAACTAAGTGGTAAGTGTTTGGGTCGGGTAGATGGGTGTGGGGATATGAACTCTTAGGATTTGCTGTTGTAGGCTTCCACGAATCGGTGTGTTTCACAGACAGTTTTCCTTCAGGTTTAAAAGTATGAGTCTGATGTCTGAACTTACTTGGATTAACTTTTGTTTCTGTCTCTTTTTGCTTTGGGCTGCCATCATTCTATGAATGTATCCCTGAAAACAATTCTTAAAGCTCCTATTCCACAGCAAACCTGCCTCATTGTAACTTCTGATAAAATGTTTTGTAGGAGGTGGAAGAGTAACCACAAATCTAATACTCCTTTTCCCAGGCTATTAATCCTGGAAAACGGTTGTTGAATCTTGAATACAAGGTTTAATCTAAATCTTGTAGAAAGCTGTGTTCCCTGTACATGGATAAGGGCAAGTGAAGGTCAGTAGTTCTGAATGACAAGCAGTTGTATTTTATTAGTGTATCATCAGCCATTTTGCGTGTGGGAAGAGAATGCCGTATCTTCGTGCTGTTACCCAGAGACACTGAAATTGTGTGAAGTATGGGCTTACTGCAGAGAACTTCAGTTACTTTGGTTATTGCTGCAGCAGGACCTCCTTTTAGCTTGAAAATAACTGCTTATGAACAACTGAATTTTAAGTTGGGAGTTTCAGTGGGAAAAAAAACCACAAGCACTTCCTGTTCTGGATGAAGATCTAGCAAGAAAAATGTATGCAACTAACAGCTTTAGAGTGTAAATTGTATATATATGAGTTATTTCTGAATCTCTGCAACTGGTCTTGTCATACATCGGTTGAAGTATGCAGATATCTACAAAAAGACTTCTACTAGGGAAAACCATGGTACAGGCGAAAAAGAATCATCTGAGAGAGAGATCCCTCATTTTTTGGAGGGGGAAGGGAGAGATTTTATTTTGCGTATACAAAACTGGCTGAGTTTACATGATGCAGCTAATGGTTAAATCTGCCAACTAAATATGACATACTGTTAGAATTGAAACAAACTTATGTGATATTTCATTAAAGCTTGATGGTGCCCTGTGTTTAGTAAAAATTTGATCCCCCAGATTGTTTTATTCTCCTCCATGTTGTAATCCAGGGTCAGCTGCTATGCACAAAGTCTGTGTTTTGTAAAGTGTTTGCTGACTTGGATGTTTCTTTTGAATCTGCAACTGCTTCCTGATTAATTTGGCTAAGACCACCCCTGGTCTCTTGAGTTAAGATTTAGTCAAAGGTATGGTGTATGCAGTTTACAGATGCATTCTCAATGTTACAAGTTAAGTTGCAGGGGGAGCAAATTCTTTACAATAAGATGGTCCATTTTTAATCTATATCATTGCCCTTGTTGTACATCAGGAGCATGTTTTTGTTTTTCTCAAACTCTTTAGAAATACCATTCAGAATAAACGTGCACTATTTGAGTTATTTCATTTACAACTTGTCATGTGCATTTTTTTCAGTCCAGCTGTTTCCCTCTGAAATCAGATATAGAATATTCCTCAGATCTTTCATAAACTGTGTAACTTGGAAGATTTCTAACATGAACTGTGAGTTGGGCTGCTGTGATCAATGAAATGGGTGTCTGACAGCTGAGAGGAGTGGAGTCTGTTTGTTTGTTTTCCCTGAAGTTATGAGCCTTTTCACAGAAATCCTCTGTCTGGTGTGGGGGAGAGGAAGAGGAACTGTCCTGGAATATTTTTGCATTGACTAGTGAGCAGTCTTGGAACAAACATACCAGGCATCAAAAACTCTGAACTTTGGGCTTTATAGGTTAAATATTTTAAACTATTCAAATTAATTGCTAGCTATTGCAAATCTTGACAACAATATTTTTAAAACTATGGTGTGTACTGCTCTTAAAAGTAACTGCTCTTAAGATGCAGCAAGTGCTCTTCCATACTGACTTTTCTCAGAAAGGTATTTAAGTAAAACTCATCTCTTCTGTTAAAGCCATTTTTTGTCTGTAGCTTCTTTCTGCTCCTCTCCTGCCATTTCTGAGGTGATAAAGTTGCACTGTGGTACAGCTTCTGGGGAAAAAATTTATCCCAAATATTCTACCTTCTGTTCCTGTAAGTATTCTATCTGTTTAGGTTCCTCTAGAAACTGCTTTATCAGTAGATGGAGTTGCTGCATTCATCAGGATAGCATGCAAAAGCAAAGCCCAGACTCTGAAACTTGACTGTGGTCTTGAGGTGCTGCTACCAGCTGTCTTGTCTTCCCTGACCTCTGCTGGAGGGCCTGGAAGGCACAGCTGGAGATGAACTGCTACCAGGAGTGCAACCTTCATCACTCTGGCCTCACCAGCACCTGCAGAAGCTAGAAAACTTTTGCTGTACTTAAAACTGCTGCAGCTGTACTCCAAACCCCTCAGCTTTTATTGATCTCTCATGTTTCTTTCCTTCTCCATGCTCATCTCAGTCACCTCTCTTAACAGTCTGTACAGTTTTAGGCAATTCAGTTACTCCTTTGCAGGGAAACTAGCACATACCCTTCATCATTGGTGTTGCCCTTTCGCAAAGCTGTGCTGGTTTCATTCCCCTCTCTGTATTCAAAACTTGGGTATTTACAGGGTCCTTGTAATAACTTATGGTGTACTATTCTCTCTTAATTATAACAGTTTGCTTTTTTTTGTTACTGAGATTATTATTTAAAGAACAGTTACAATGCCAAGATCTAATAAGTCATTCACTTCACATGAAAAAACTGTTGTTTTTTTCCCCAGTGCGTACACCACTCTGTTAACCTGTGCTGGATATCATTTGTTGTTACAGTGCCCAGTCACTCAAGATTAGAAGGGTCACCTATCATTCCTCATTCTTATTACCTTGATGAACCTCCAGGAAACCTTTACCTCACTCTACTTCCTTTTTTAAAATAGTGCTGAGGAGTATAGACCCCAGCACAAATCTTTTTCAACTCCACTGCTGACCTGCCACTAGTGTGAAAACTGATCTTTTATTCCATGCCCTGTGATTTGTCTTTTAATCAGTTCTCTATCCCTGTGAGGATGCTATCCTCAGATCCTGTGGTAGCCTAGATGACTTAAAAGATCCCTGTCCAAAAGCTTTTATGTGAAGTCATTTTGAGTATCAGCCAAACTAATTTGTCAGCTGAGTGGTGTAATCCATTTCTGGCAGTATTACTTTTCTTCCTGTAAGGGTTCTCCAAATCTATTCAACCCATCTACTCCACATGCTTTGTATAGGACACAAGACTGTTCCTCATTGTTGCCTGATGTCCTTTTCTTCTGCCCCTAGGCATCAGTTTAAGAAGATGATGGAAAGGTTACCCTATTTCTCTCTTTTTATTCTGCCTTCTTTCCTC